TTACGTCATCGGCAATGTATGTATATTGCCTGATAAACCTAAATGGTTGGCAAGCAAGAATAAGAATACGGAAGCTGTGAACCAAACTGACACAATAAATACTTTCTGCTGCATGATAGTTAACCTAGTTTATAAGCTAAAGCTATAATTAAATGATCTCAGCCGCTTCTAGAATATATAAATCCTTCCAGCATACAGGGTGCGGTCAGGAGGTCCGTGGCGCGGCGATTTCGCAGGTGGCGGTCATGACCTACATTATTCGAGAGTACTACAGTACATTACGTCAACCAAATGCGAGATGGCTCGAACTGAATGATCTTCTCCGAGTCGTTGCAACTTAGAGCTTACAATCAGCATCCAGCAACTTGATGCTCTTTTCCTCAGATTTCACTTTTTTAGCTCACATCCACATGGCGCCTTGTCAATTGGAGCTTTCACTGCTATGGTTACGTCCGGATCAGGATTTCCAGACATGTATCCTGGCTTGAAATCTACAATTCTCACGCTGAATGGGCAAGTTCTGGTTCCCTTTTCGACGAGATATTGGCATCGCTCTGGGTGAGTGTGTGTTTAGCCTTTCATTTTGTGGCCAAGATAAATCTCAAAATTTTCTGAGAATTTATTGATATTGTTTGGGGCGTTCTGCTCAATGCCTGCAGAATCTTCGAACGCATATTGCTTGACTACCTGGGAGTTCGGAGTTTTTCCGTAACTAAGGTAGAGTGGTGCGCAGGTGCGAAGAGCGTATTACTTTCGCCCCTTCAAGAGTGTGCGGCAATGCTTGTAGAAGCGTGTGGTTACAGGTCTCCGCCCATGTCCGATACAGACGCCCTTAACGTGGAATCGCTGCATAGTTTTGTAAGTAATGTTCGCCAAATTACTGAATGTGCAGCTCTTTCCGTCTAGTCTCTATCCCGAGCGCTCAATGTCTCGCATCCTCTCAACTAATAGTGTGCTCGTTGAAAGCTCGTAACCAAAAGTACTGTGCCTTAAAGTTGGCGAAAGAGGGCTCTGCTTGGGATGTTTTCTGTTCTGTTCTTCATTCAGTCTCATAGCAACTAGTATCTACCTTTCCACACGTCCCACCACTCGATCACGCAATGTACCCTGGAGGCTCTGAAGGATCATTTTGTTTTGACAACTGTTTCGTTAAGGAGGGGCTGAATCGTCGAGGAAGTCGCTCGAGTACCTTCTGGAAAATCCCGGTAAAGGTATGTTCCCGAGTGGCCATTGTTCGACAATTATTTTTTCAAGGGGTACCCCTACCTAGGTCGAGCAATAGCCATCGTCTTGGGAGGAGCGACAGAGGCACTGGACGCGCATCCCGGAACGCATGAACTCTGCTTGTCTTCACGTCGTGGATTTTGTCGTTACGCTCTGAAATATGGGTAAGAACACGTCTATTGATCACTTCACTCCATCGTCATTATATCCCTTCCAACCTTTGGGAGGAGGAGGGAGAGTAGCTCATCTTTTCCGAGTCGTGGGTTGTATAGGAGCCTCGTTTCCGTGCAAAGATGAGGTGATAGAACATAACGTTCTCCCAGTTTTTCCGAAGCGCAGGTAGGGCAATGGCAAAAATAGCGATACCACCACATAATAGGTCGTGAACCAAGCCAAGAACTCTACTCCCTCCGGTCAATTCTTTGTATTCCATCCTGTCAAGAAATTTCTTTTCTACGTTGCCTCAAAATCGCTTGCCCTCTTCAAGGAGTTGTGTTCCCCAAGCCATTTTCCGCGATAATCGGAGAGGCGGGGATAGACATATTCAACTCAAGCGTTGCGTCTCTAGATCACCCATCCCCTTTTCTTCATTCATTTTCTATGAGTGTTGACAATGAGCCTTTTTCATTTCAGTACGGACCTTGTACCAATGTACCACTTTGGTGAGAATGATGTCTTTGACCGATGGGAAGGAAATGCACGGGGGACTCGCATTAGAGAAATTCAGGTTTGTTGCAAGTCTGTTTGGTAGCTCTCCATTAAGCTTTACCAATTTAGACGTGGATCAAGAACAAATTCGGATTTTGTCCACCATTGTTGAAAGGTCGCGGCATCTTCAACTATAGTTTCGGGATGCTTCCACATCGCAGACCCATCACTACAGTCATTGGAGCGCCAATAAGGTACGTAGCAATCACCTTATACCCTTGCCACTTCCGTGCTGATCGTGTGGGCGGATTCATTGTGACCATTGCGCCCATTTGATTGGTGGCCCATCCAGAAGTGACAAAAGGGTAAAGGGCACCAAGGACAAGGGCAAGAAGATATGGGACCGATACGCCTAATACGGTCAGCCTTGGCATTGTAGCCGTTGACCGACACGACAAAGGAGAGTAAGAGCGACAGGTGTAATTGGCCGAAAAATGCGGAAGAAGCGTCGCTGGCTTATAAGGCTGAGGATCGTTAAGACAGTAATACCGATTAAATAATGGACCCGTGGGGTAGAAATACTGCTCCAGAAAACCAAGCCCTCTCTCCTTCCGTGGTCAGTCAGGCACCAGTGCTATATAGGAGTCCAGAAATCCAGACTAACAGCTCCCAAGCATGCGGTCAGTAGCCCCGAGTTGACGTGACAGGCGAAGACTAGCTCAGTTTGTGGCATTTCTTAGCTAATTGACGCGACTTGCTGTAACCCTTCCGCATTTACTCACGCACAGTCGATGGGGCAGTGGCAGGGCATGAACGAGCCACCCACCGATTTCTTTCCTGAATCGATCACCACTGGTAAGAAATGCAGCCAGAAGCATCCCTTGGTGCGAATGACGCGCACGCAATTCACATTGAAGCCTCGCTTTTGCTCTCGCCAAATCGCGCCCTCGCAACTCGGTTGTACTGAACCCTGAAATCGCAACTGTCGTGTAGGTCAAGCAGTCACTCAAGCTCCTCCACGATCCCAGAATGCAGCCGAATTTGCCATTTGAACAAGTTCGGTCAAAGCTAACCACTTCATCTCTCTCTTTCGCATGCTCTTTGTTTCAGAACCACACGAACAGAGAATCCCACGGAGCAGGAGATCGACGCACTCCACGCCAAGTACTGCAAAGCCCTCATTGATCTGTTTGAACAGCATAAAAGCCTACACGACATTCCAAAGGATGTCCATCTGACTATACATTGATATTTTGTGCAAATAATTTTTCAAAGAAACTATAGTGCATGTGATGAATATTTACGTGTAATAAATATACTTCTATAAATTTTTTTCTCATCTGTCTAAGGTCTCTGAAGGAACTACCTAAACGACTGGTGGTCCTCAGGCGCGGGGGCGGGCGCGCGCGGGGGGGGACCGCGGCGCGCGTGGTGGTGTGTTGTGTGCGGCCGGCGGTGTGCTGGCGCGTCGCCTGTGGTGTGGCCGGCCCGGCGCGCCTCATGATTGAACAGCCGATTAACTGATTCCTGTAAGTTAGGGATCCGCTTAGACAGCATTCAGACTCCGCGATCACGGGTGCAGTCGCACGTCGACGCTCCTCATTGCGAAGTCTAAACGCTGCTGGTCACAAAAAGCATAACTTTTAAAGATAAAATCTCTCAAGACGCGAGAGTTCCACACAAATTTGCCGTGCCAATGGTACCGGCGAGATCAAAGGCAGCTTCGAGTGGAGCGAGGCATCGCAGCGCAGTTCGGCTGGGGACGGCGCTGTAGGGAGGCATTGGCCTTTCTCTATTCCATCGACTTATTTCATTATTTTTTGGTGTTGAAATTGTGTTGATGTGTGTTTATAAGATTGTGTGAGGTGGTCTCTGTTCGAGGTTTAGACTGTAAGTCGCTTCGGGTCTCCACATCATAGATCCCCACCTGCTAGCTGATGTATGTGTGTGAGTATGTGTGTAATACGAAATGTGTGAGTATGTGCTCCTCTGTCGTATCCCCCTTCTCCTCCCCCCCCTCGCCCTCGCACGCCCTTCAAATCCGAGCTGTGCGGCGCATCGCCAAAAAGCGGGAAGCTGCGAATAGCAGCGACTGGGCTCGAAATTTTCGCTCATGTTTTTCGCTTGTCGATTTTAGTTTTTTCTTCTTCCATTAAGTTTCCTCACTCTTCCGTGATGTTGTTGTTGTCCCCGTTTTCTACGGTACTACCTTAGCTTGTGTATCTGTGTTGTTGTGTGTAGTTTAGAAGTAAAGTACCTCCAACTATAGTTCTGTTACCAATCACGGAACCGCTTTCAAATACGTGGCAAAGCCATGTATACCTATGGATCATTGAAAATTCCCCCCCCCCCTTACGACCCGACGACCTTCTTCCTTCCTTTATACCATCTTCTTGCTCTATCGACATCTATCGAAGTGAACTTCTCTCTCACAGTTTCCTGATACTTCTCCACATTGTCCCAAAATTCCTCCGCTTTTCCCCCTCAAAGAAAACTGCTCGAGCGGGAGAGGAGGGGGTACAGTGCACCTGAAACAGCAAAAACGCCAGCGGTCGAAAACATTTTCCCGGAATCCAAATACGAAACTCTCACCAGCGAAAAATCGACCCTGTTTTAGCTTGGGGATGCCCAACATACAGCGCACCCTGATACCACAATATCAGGCAATCTGTCAACTTGTACCTTTTAAAGACGACTGTATCGACTGACGCGCTCTAACTCACCCGCTGCGCGCACGCGCGCAATTAAAGGAACTTTTAATTTTTTGGCCCAGTGCCATGTAAAGTTCATCTGACTTCCACTGAGCAGTTCGAAGTTGGGAAATCTTCATTGATTATAATCAGGTGACCGTCTCCAATTTCTTTACCTATAATTCCAGTTAAATCCTTTCCTCTTGACCCTGCTCTGTTTTTCAATGGCCATTTCATAATTTGTAGAACGCGATGAGAGATTGGCTGTGGACTCCTGAGGAAGTGAAGGTTAGCTTTTCTTCTCATTGCAGTATTAATCAGCTTTTTCTACTCTGATGCGAGTGGTCACGTTTTTAAGGACACTCCGTCCGTTCGGCGTGGAATGACGCCCGCAGAAGAGGCCAGAATCCGAAGAGAAGGGATTAGGCTGATAATGGAAGTGGGAACTGGTGTGAGGGCGTGAGTTTTTGAGTTTTTTTTTAAGAGAACACCTGAATTTCCAAATCCGTCTTCTGATTTCTGTTTTGCTTATTAATCTTGGTGATTCCACAGATATTATTTCAGCAAGGCCTGGCCCACCATTGGAACTGCCTCGATCTATTTTCATCGGTTCTATATGTTCCACTCGCTACAGGAATTCCCACGTGAGGTAAAAGAAATGACTTTCCATCTATAATATTACATCCATTACTTTCTATTAGCGTGCGTTCATACTTTGCGTCAGCTCGAACTCCCTAGTTCAATACCTATATTTTCGTAGTCGCTCGAAACGCTGGCATGGGCAAGGCCAGTAATTTCAGCGACTGCTCGCCAAAAAGTTGGATTGCTCTCTCAAACGCTCAAAACGGTGGATCGATATCTATACCTTACTCTCTCAAAACGCTTCCGCAAGCTGGCGTACGCTAGATCAATACCTGTATTTTCCTAGTCGCTCGAAACGCTCGCGTGAGCTCAAACTCAACTGACGCAAAGTATGAACGCAGTGTTACATCCACCTAATTGCAGATGGTCGCCATGGGCTGTTTATTCCTTGCTGGTAAAGTTTCGGAAACTCCAAAAAAGTGCAAAGATATCGTGACTGCTGCTCAGAATGTCTTCCCAACAGTTTATGGAAACAAAAATCGGAACACTTTCGTGGTGAGTTTTGAACCCTTCTTCCAACTATAGGTTCGCCAAAATACACCATATCGCGAAGATGGCGAAGGCATGGTTGCGTCCTTCGTTCAAACAAAGTTATTTTCATTTGAGCTAACCATCGTCCTGTTCACTGTTCGATATAGAGATGATTACAATTGTCCCAAAATGGCAACTTTCCGCCTAACGAGCACCAGCTGCCACTTACGAAAGTACTTG